CCCCAAAACCCCAAAACCCCAAAACCCCAAAACCCCTATTTTAACTTCTTATTTGAAAATTGATGTTTAAACATGACTTTGGATATGGATTTCGATGGACTGGTAATCTCAACCCTCAGCTTCAAAATTCTCCCTTGAGCTTACTCCACTATATCTCAGGCATCTCTTTAGATTACCAGAGAAGAGTTTTGGCAGCCAATGCCAACAGCAATAAAGCCTCATTGCTTATTGGGACTTTAGAGCGAGGGATAGGCCAAAGGAATAGCTTTTATTAGAAAATCAAGTTAACAGAAGATAAGCTATGTCAAATCTTTGGTATATTTGATTACTCCAGTATCGAAATCTCTTAGCATTTCATTATCTTACAACACCATGACAAGTAAAGCTGTTTGCTTCCTCTTGCTCTTACTCTTTGCCCCAATTGTCATCTTCGATGTTGATTTCATCTTGAGATTCTTTTGTTCTTTCTTTAAGCCTCTTCCTGACCCTTTAACCAAGTTGCTAAGGGCCAATTTGCTTTGAGATTCCTTTTTATACGGTCCACCAGGAACTGTAGAACTAGTAGTGACAGTAGTCCTATCTAGTACCTTCGACCTGATCACCGAAGAACAAGTTGAACTTGAAAAAGGAGAGTTCACTGCGCTCTGATGACTATTCCTCACTCTCTGTGGAGGAAGATCAAAGCTTGCCTCAAGACTCTCTTTCCCAAAAATAGTTTTAGAGTGATGATCTGTAGTTGAAGCAGGGTTCTTAGGTATACCAAAGGAGAAATTCTGAGACAGCTCGATCCTCTTTGGTTCATTGTAGTATTTAGCAATGTTAGATTTTAAGGAAGCAGTTGAATTAGTCTTTCTGAGCAAATTTCGTGCTGAAAATCTGGTGCTACTATTAATAGCATACCCTTTTGATACTGGACCTCTGTAAACAGTGATACTTTCAATGTTCTTGGTCAAGGATTTTTCCATATCCTTCTTAACTCATGGGTCTGAGGTTTTGGTATTGGATATTAAATCCGTTTTACGTTCCTTCCTAGTCCTCCTTTTGGTGGTGTCCGGATGGTTCAGCTTTATTCTGGTGAAATTTTTAGGAGAACACATTTCGAATGGATTCGAAAATGCCTCAAAACCATCATTTCTGGAAGAAGGACTTTCAGTATTCTTAGGAGATAGGAAATTTTTAAATTTGAACGATGAGATGGAATTTCTCATGGTTCTATTCCCAAATTCTGAATTCATCCTCTCCTGTTTTATATTCTTGATCAACTTGTTTGCTTTATTGGTAAAGCAACTGAGCATCGAATTCCTGGCTTTATTCTGAGCTAATTTATTCTTATAAGCAGGAGATTGAACTCGAAAGCCAGATTTCCTAACCTCTAGGGCTGAAGTTGTTTTGTATTCTTTTAATCCTATTAAACTGCTAGTACTCTCTTCTTCCTCGATACTTTTCCCTTCATTCCAACTTCTTTCACGAGCTTTAAATCCTTTATCGCATGGAATTTGGATGACTCTTGGCGAAATGAGACTTCTTTGAGCATCAGAACAATTTTTCTTTCACTGCTTTTTCTTACCTATTACTTTAGGTGGTTTTTTGTTCTTTTTGGTGGTCTGAAAGGGTCTGAGAATGTTAATTGCTTTATTTAGTAGTAGGGGTTTTGATAGAGTTCTTGTTATACACCTCCTGGTTTACTTCTTTCTTAATTTGAGTGAGGTAGGATGTCTTGGAGTAGGCAATTGGGTTATTCATGTTTGAATTATTATATTTCTCAGTTACTCCCAAATTTATACAAATTCACGGGGTTTTGGGGTTTTGGGGTTTTGGGGTTTTGGGG